TTGAAAACAAAGGGAACGCAGCATAAACTGCTCTGATTTCTTGCAAATAAGAAGACAAAAAAACATCCCGTAGGTGTAGAAACCGACAGGTATGAGTCAGCAGCCAATAGAAACTCCTCAGCTAGTGAACCGGCTTCAAACGGCCGTGTGAACTTTCTCCTCATTACCGAGCCGAAAACGGATCCTGTGAGCAGGGAAACGAGGATGAAAATGGGCTCCTTCTGATTTAAATGAGCTCCACAGTGGCGTAAACAAACGAGGCTGATACGATTAGTCCACCGACAACGCACGGGAAGAGATAAATGCTGTTTCCACCTTAACTTTTTAAGGTTCACCCGGCTCCACGTTTCCGGACCCCTCCCCCCAATGTTAGGAGACCAAGGCACTTTTGCCCTTTGATTTAAGAAAAGAAGACGACTTCCTCCAGCTAAGCTGTTTCCCTGAAGACTCTCACAAATTGGAATAACTTCGATATCGTTCGTTGTTTTCTTTTCAATTTTTTGCTTTTTTTTCTCTCCCCCAAGTGTTCGGTTTTTTGGTGGACTGGCCCACCCGTCCCACCCTCCATTTTTCAGAAATCCAGGAAGTACAGTATGTAGTAATGGAAGCCAGTTGGAATCTTAAAAAAAAACAAAAAAAAAGAGGTAAGAAAACAATGGAAGGACAGAGAAAGAGGAGTTAACGAAGAGCAAGAGCTGCACATCAAAAGAGAAAGTAATGAGAGTAACCATAACAGAATACAGCTAACTAAATATAGCGGTACCAAAACAAACACGCGCCACAGAATTTCACAGAATTCCTGATAAATCACAATTCACACACAGAGAAACACCTTGGACCTCATGTGAATGACAGCACAGTACAAAACAGTAGAAATACAGTTACCACCATTGTATAATATATACTTTCCTATAACTTTTCAGAAAAAGTTCTTGGGTGGGTGGAGCAGGATGGAGCTTCATCAGCCGGTCAAACAGATTCATTTACTACCACAGACGCTTTTTAAAAAATAAACACAGCGTTTCATCGAAAGAAATCAGAGTTTCTTTTGTTTCTTTTCAAATCTTGTGAGCAGATTTTTTTTCTTTTAAACAGAATTTATGTGCAAACTTTACTCATTCAAACAAATAACTTTTTTTTTTTCCAGTTTCCAATTCTTTCTTGTAATAGTAAAAATGCCTCACAGGCTCATTTATCCTCCTCCGTTTCCACCCCGTCCTCAACCTGCACAGGTCTGAGTTCCAAGTCCGTCTGGCTGCAGACTGCAGGAACAAGAACGGATATCCAGCCCTGCCCACATCCAAGTCGGCCATTTTTAATTAGGTCACCAATAGGAAGATCCCAGGCAAGAAAATCATCTCAACCCGCTGGCAGTTTGGCCAAGTGAAGTCCAAACAAGTTTAACCAAAAAATATTTATTTCTCCCAATTATGAAGGGTGGAGGGTTAGGGTTAGGATTAGGTTTAGGGTTAGGGTTTTGTTTAGGGTTAGGCCTAGGGTCAGGGTCAGGTTGAGAGTTAGGGTTAGGGTTTTGTTTAGGGTCAGGGTTAGGGTTAGGGTTAGGGTCAGGTTTTGGGTCAGGTTTAGGGTCAGGGTTAGGGTTAGATCATCTTCCGATTTCGTATAGACAGTAAAGTTTCGTTTCCACCTCAGAAAGCTGCTAGTCACATGACCTAAACAACTACTCAACGACTTGGACGTGGGAGGAGTTGGATATCCAGCCGAGGCTCCTACAGGCTGCAGCTCGGTGGGTGGAGCCCCGGGGAAGGAGCTCTACCCCCCTGCTGCTGAGCTCCATCCTGCTTTACCCTCGGCCATCTTTGTTTCTCTTCTCTCTCTCAAGACCGCGCGTCCGTCTTCGACTTCACTATCGTGATGACGCTGGTCGCCGTGGCTACCTTTCCCGGAATGAGCGGCCCCATGACGGAGGAGGCCACGCCCCCCCCGCCCCCGCCCCCCCCCGCCCTGACGCCCACGCCCACGGCGGGGCTCCGCGCCACAGTCCGGGCGAAGGTCTGCAGGGCCTCGTACTTGGACCTGAGGGCGTCCAGCTCCACGCGCATGGACGCGTTCTCGTTGGCCAGTTTGTCCACCTCCTGCTGCAGCTGCGCCTTCTGCTTCTCCAGCTCCTCCTTCTGCGTGACGCGCTTCACGCGGCAGCTCGCCGCGTAGCCGCGGTTCTTCAGCGTGCGCCGCCGCTGCTTCAGCTGCAGGATCTCCTCCTTGGAGAGCCCCCGCAGGTGCTGGTTCAACTCCCGCACCGACATGGTCACCAGCTCATCGTCCGTCAGGCTGGTGCCATTCTCCCCCGGCTCGCGCTTCACCTGGAGGGAGG